GCATTATATATATATAATGTATACAGCTGTTTGCAATAATTCTGACCCCCCTACACTAATATTCATAACATTGTGCCATTTCAAACTGGAAAATGCCATTTCAAAATGGAAAATTCTTTTTAAGAGACTGTCCCAGGACTATCTCAGGACTATCTCTGGCTGTCAACCAATCAGAATAAGACATTTGATTGCCTCGGTATGTACCAGGGATTGTATCCGAATATTGACCAATCACAACTAATCATATCAAGTTACAAAGATACAGTCCCTTCTTCTTAGCCAATCATGTTAAATTCATCTGGATTTCATTTGTCATCTTCTATCAGTGAATGTCAATCAAGTCTAAAAGCTAGAAAGTTGAAAGCAAATTCATTACAATGGATCAAACCTTGAAGCAAAAGGCAAAAGAAACACCTTTTTATAACTTTAATGAACACTGTACAACGTTGATTTTATTGGTACAAATCGTCAAATCGTTATGGGTCGTTATGATATATTCGAAGTATATGCACGATTTTATACGGCCCTCTTGTTACACGAACAGATAACACTTCTATGCCGGGTTTTGCGTCCTAAATAATGCATATTTTTCTTGTTTATTACAATTGATACAATTTATCTGGTTGGCTTTCGAGTCAAACGCCGTTTGCGACTGTGTATCGAAGTCTCAAATCACAACATTTATGAAAACTTGCATTCGAATGCAAATGAAACAAGCACAACAGAATCTAGCGTTTACGATGTCAATTTTAGCGGTGCCTTCGTTTCTTCTGAATATTGTGTTAAAAGAATACTCTTGTCCGAGATCGCGTTCAAGAACAAGCATTCACGACTTCGTTTTGGCGCGAAGCGCTGTTTACAATAACGATTAACAAAGTCCAAATTGTCGATTAATCTTTTTATCCAGTCTGGAATCAGGGTTTTAAACTGAATCAAACCCATCGGAAATATAAATACCATCATCAGCCTTTTAGTAAAATCTATGTAGAAGCATTTTATATTTCGTGTCTCGAAAGATCAGCGTATCGTGTGCCGAGACTGTCTCCCTTTTTTAGCCAATCACGTAGAGCACACTTGTCAACACTGTGTGAATGATGACAAGATTGTCGCTTATAACAAAAGTTTCAGTATATTTACCAGAGAATTGTTGTACATTAATATTCAATCAAACTGATTTGATTTTGGGGATTTTTTTCTGTATATAATATTTGAAAACTACCGCTTACATGTACTACTAAAAGTATTTAGTACATCGAAGAATTTGAGCGGGAGCCGAAGCTAGTGTGACAAGAAACCAAAGAAGCCCGAAATAAAAAGTAATTATATAAATCGATTTAGATTATTAATAAAGTTATTTAATAGTCTTTGCTTAATTATATACTGTTTTGGGGATGTTTTCTATAAATTTGAAAACTACCGCTCATTTAGTACATCGAGGATTTTGAGCGGGAGCAGATCGTCACGCTAAGTGTGACAAGAAACCAAGGATGCTCGAAATAGAACTTTATAATATGATTTGAAATCCTTTTTAGATTGTTAACAAAGTTTTAATAGTGTTTCCTTACTTCGATATTGTTTTTGGGATTTTTTCTATCAACATTTAAAAGCTACCGCGGCTACCGCTCATATAGCCACTGCCACTTCGTATTTATAACAGCAACAATCTTGTCATCATTCCCACAGTGTTGACAAGTGTGCTCTTCGTGATTGGCTAAAAAAGGGAGACAGTCTCGGCACACGATACGCTGATCTTTCGAGACACGAAATATAAAATGCTTCTACATAGATTTTACTAAAAGGCTGATGATGGTATTTATATTTCCGATGGGTTTAAAACTCTGATTCCAGACTGGATAAAAAGATTAATCGACAATTTGGACTTTGTTGCAATTAGCTAAGTAAACAGCGCTTCGCGCCAAAACGAAGCCGTGAATGCTTGTTCTTGAACACGATCTCGGACAAGAGTATTCTTTTAACACAATATTCAGAAGAAACGAAGGCACCGATAAAATTGACATCGTAAACGCTAAATTCTGTTGTGCTTGTTTCATTTGCATTCGAATGCAAGTTTTCATAAATGTTGTGATTTGAGACTTCGATACACAGTCGCAAACGGCGTTTGACTCGAAAGCCAACCAGATAAATTGTATCATTGTTAATAAACAAGAAATATATGCATTATTTAGGACGCAAAACCCGGCATAGAAGTGTTATCTGTTCGTGTAACAAGAGGGCCGTATAAAATCGTGCATGTACTTCGAATATATCATAACGATTTGACGATTTCTATAATAAAATCAACGTTACAGTGTTCATTAAAGATATAAAAAGGTGTTTCTTTTGCCTTTTGCTTCGAGGTTTGATCCATTGCAACGAATTTGCTTTCAACTTTCTAGCTTTTAGACTTGATTGACATTCACTGATAGAAGATGACAAATGAAATCCAGATGAATTTAACATGATTGGCTAAGAAGAAGGGACTGTATCTTTGTAACTTGATATGATTAGTTGTGATTGGTCAATATTCGGATACAATCCCTGGTACATACCGAGGCAATCAAATTGCTTATTCTGATTGGTTGACAACCAGAGATAGTCCTGAGATAGTCCTGGGACAGTCTCTTAAAAAGAATTTTCCATTTTGAAATGGCATTTTCCAGTTTGAAATGGCACAATGTTTCATATATATCAAAGTAGCCTTAGAAATTATGGAATACCAATGCTGATATTTTTTTGAGAAAGTACTCATTCTGGGCAACTCAAAATATATATCAGTCATGATATCCCATAATATTTAAGGTCAGTTTGATATATATGAAATATGGCAGAGGGGGTCAGAATTATTGCAAACAGCTGTATAGTATTATTATAATATAATCATCTTTACCTAACAAGTTAATGGCTTAAAATGTTTTGTTATATATATCAAGATAATCACTTATTTAGCCATTATATATAGTCCCGTAGCAAATGGCCGTGTGTACGTGCTTGGATAGAATGGACCAAGTCACACCGATTACTTCTGATTCATACACGTTGGTTAATTCCGAAGAATAGATTCTTTTAAAAGTAACGGTGAAGATCTTGGTTATTGTTGTCTCTATTCTCTGATGAACATATGAAGAAAAGCTGCGGGACTCGAACTTATTACACTCTAAATCTCCTTTTGCTGGCCGCACTGGTCTTTTTTAGGGGAAAAATAGTTTAGTTTACTTAGTTTATTTGATGTTCAGCAGGGAAATGTGGGGTTGATGAATTGAATTGAATAACTCGTTATAAATTCAGCGGGCTATATGAGTGATTCCTGTCACTCATATATAGCCCGCTGAATTTATAACGAGCTATTCAATTCAATTCATCAACCCCACATTTCCCTGCTGAATATCAAATCCCTCCCCGGCTTTAAGTTTCTATGGTATATACAACCCTATGAATAACAAAGAAAACCTAGTGAATTGGAAACTAAGAAGACATACAATCATGATAAACTGTGCGACTCTTTTTGTTAGAGAAAATAATTCTTTTCTTTCAAGTGAGCACACATGTGAGACGTGATGGTGTCAGCACAGTGTGCATGTCCTCTTATTGAAACACTCTAGTCAGCTAATCAGGCAAGAATTTACACAGGTGTGGTAAAAAAAGAACTTCTAGAACTCCTTCTAATGAGGATGTGAATTGTGCTACAATTTAAGACAAAACCAAAAGAGACCAAAAAACAATGCATTTCATTCTGGTAATACAGGCTCTAAAGGGAACTGGACATCAATTCTTTATCTTTACTCTTACAATTGAATTCAAGTAATGAATGGTA